GTGAAGACAAGTATTCAAGGAAAGCATTCTAATTGGACTTCACTCCAATTTAAAAGACACATTCGGGCTTTTCAAAACGGACATTTGTCCGAAGCCAATTCATAGTACTGGTACAGTTCAGCACACAAAACCTGCTCATGGCCGTGAAGATGAGCCTGCTTATTGAATATTGCGGACTCTGAAAATTCTGTGAACCTTCTGTTTATTACAGATAAATGGGCTATCTCCAGCCAAGTTGAGGCGTCAGCGAAAACAACAGCGGCGAAAAGCCAAGCAGCAAAAGGAGGTAGTGCACCACACTGGGCGGCCGATTGCTGCCGAACGCTATTCCTGTGTGCTTTTGGCTTCGATAGTGTTCTAGATCTAGTGTGAATAGATGCATTTAGCGCCGTCAGCGGCAACAGCGTGAACGACGGCGACAGCGAAAGGTCCAGGCTCGCCTTCGGCAACGGGTAGACTAACATTCGCTTAGCAAAACCACCTGCTTTATTTAGTTTGTGTGATTTGTCTGCCACGATTATTCAGCACATTTTCTCGCAACGGAAAACTTCACCGGATTATGTTCTGATATTAGACCCACTAATGGAAACAGGGGAATGGGCGATTTCCACCGTGGATTGGAACGCTGACAAAAGGTTATTCTAACATGGTCGCAGGGATTGCGAGTGAGATCAATTCTGCTCTGAAAATCTGCAGTCTGAGAACGCATTCGTGGCTTGCTTCAATTATCCCCACCTAGCTTTCCATTTGGAAACACCAAATTCATTTCAGTGACTCTCCAGTGAATTCCTTCAATTCTTGCGTTAAGGCCACCGCACTCACCACCTGAGCACCGGAAACATGAAATTTTGCAGGATGAGTTTATCAATTCCAGCGTCGACATGGTGCCACTGACACCCCGGCTGCACTCTTCGCCACCGAACAGCCTCACCTGGATAAAACAGGATTCAACGGTGATGCGGAGCGGCTTTGATAATGACTACGACATCATGGGAATGACTGGGCCTGCGCCACGAGGAGCACAACCACCACGACCGCCGGAGCAGTTCATTCCTGTTGGACGTGGGTGACTGCTAGTCAAAATCTTCGAGATCTATTTGTTTGTTTATATTGAAATGAAGCATGTTTCTTAATTTTTTCTTCAACATTGTAAGTCTGTAAGTGAAGTTGCTTGTTTAGGTAGTCCGCAGCGAGCAATTAACCCATTGTTCCATAACCCAAACGCGATCACGTTCGTGATCCATCAACCCACACTACCACCACCTATAAGGTGAGACTCTTTTGGATTGTATATTATGGAAAAGGGTTCGAAGTGAATATCAGTATCCTATTTTCGCACAAGTACTCGACAATTTTTGGAAGCAAAGAAAAACTCACCGGCGCGCGCGCGATCGCATGCTTATGATGTCACTGTGACGTCACCAGCGCACGCTCTCATCCGCGCCGCCAGTAAACCCTCCATGGAGTCACGATTCTCAGACCCGGTGTTGCCACGCGCAAACCTATACCGAAACCAAAAGTTACTGCATGTCTATGTTTACTTGTCTTGCCTGAACTTACTATCCCGCTCAAATACCGGCCCAACGAGAACTTTTTATTCCTGCGTATCGCGTTATCCACGATATCCGTCCTTCGCGTTCAAAAAGGCTGATCCGTGTGTTTTTTTTTTTTCGCTATAACTCTGTTTGTTCTCACTTTTTCTGGGAAGAAGTTCTGATCGGCTCTAATCGGGTGTTCTGGAGGGCAAGAAAAGCTTACCATCTTGCGCACTTCTGCACAAGGTGCGCAAAATTGTACTTTCAAGAGGAGGCGTCAGTGACCACCTATTTCGACCTCGAAGCCCACTTCCTTTCAAGTTTACGAGGTAAGCGAAATGAGTAGGTATAAAAGACAAATGAAAATTCAGGCTCATGAACACACAGACAAAAAATCCATCCGGAGATTCTTATGTTCATAATGACATAGTTACTCGCCTGAATCAGTTGCGCCCCTTCTCCGAATGCTTGCATACCTTCTACACGATTCTGCCGTTATTGTCGCCTAACTCTTCTTATAAATTGCTAGCTGGAGCATGCGGTGCCCCATTTATTGTGCACGTTTTAAATAGAAAGGGTGAAAACGATAAATTCACGGCGGAGCGTCTAATAATAACTTTTGCTCAGCATCAACCAGGCGTCCTAAATAGAAGAGAATAGGAGGATATTGGCCAGAAAAGCATGTGTATGAATATCCAAGGTCATTAATTTAGAGGCCGCTCTGCAGGAACGTGACAACTTCATCACACAAACATCTTAACTTTATCATACAAACATCTCATCAGACAGGCTACAAAACGGGGTGGCACATCACCAAGGCAAAGCACATCCACTCGTGCTCAGTTATTTCGGGTCAGGCGTAAGGAGTGGATTGATGGTGGCAAGGCCATATCCACTATCTCTAACATGGAGGCTGCTAACTTGGTGTATCTGGTCTGCCTGTCTGTCTGTCCGTTTTGTCGTGAATAAGTCAGGAGCTAGCGAAAACTAAGGCCGACGTCATACTTTGCGATTCGATTAGCGAATCGCTAGCGAATCGAGCGAATCGCTAATCGAATCGCAAAGTATGACGTCGGCCTAACAGAGTTGGAGAACAGATTGGTCTTGCAGAATCAGTTCAACGTGATATCAATTGCGGTAATGCCCCCGTACAGGTAGGGCACCCGAGTTTATGCTTGACAAATTAGGCTTCTGCTGTCGGAGAAGCAGTTTGGTAAGATGAAGTGACTACGTCCGAGAGCACAAGGTTTTTTGGATCATTTTCTTAACCAAATGGGTGTGATTCTGCTGAAACAGTGGGGTAGACCACTTACGAAGGGAGAAGAATTAACACGTTGACGACAGCCCCTTATGCGTGTACCTTGGCAACTTTTTGTTTATTTTTTTCACAATCGTCATAACTTCTTCAATAATTCCACTACTGGTAATTGACTCACAGTTTTTCGGATAAGATGACGCATGCACACAGTTTTGAAATATGAAAAAGGCCAAATAAACCAAAAAACTAGCCAGAATCGGGTGAAAATTCTGACGCGCATGCGCGTCATGCTGTCGTCAACGTGTTAAAATTGCTGAAAGCACTCAGAAGCAGAACCTCTCAAATGGTCAAACGACTTTAAATGAAGAGAGATACAGACAGTCTAGAAGACAGAGCGGTTTGGGCGAGAGAACAGACGTGCAATATTGTAGAAAAGTGTTTCAAGCGTAGTCACTTCTACGGTACTCGCCGTAAAAAACGTCAAAAACACGCGAAAAACGCGATTTCGCGTTTTTTTCGTTTTTTCGTTATAACTCGGTTCAAAATTAAGATTTTCAAAATCTGAAAAAAGCATTGAACTCAGCTCGTCGAGTTCTATAAGAATATGCTTTTAAACTTTTGGAAAGCCCTACTTCAGATTGCGCCATGCACTCGAGCTTTGGCTCGAGAAAAAATTGTTTGAATGTGGTGCGCATATAATCCCGCTTATGCATCATGATCGTTCTTCAGAGAGATGGGTCTCAGCAGTTGCCCCAGAACGCGCCGCGTATTCAACATCGTCCATTGTATTGTGAATGGATCGATTGCTTTTTTCCAGATTTCATGGTCCCTATTCCATAGCGGCGCGTTAAATGACTCAACACGTACATGACTGCGCTCAACATCTCCTCCTCTCGTGTTCAAATGGAAATCATAGATCATTTTTCAGCAGGACAGTAGCCTATGTGGTGTACTCTACAAATGTGAAGGAATTTCCCCGCTACCTCCTCAGATTTCGGAAAAACCTTCGCTCAAACATTGGAAAATTTCACCAAATAGGCTAACTGTCCTGCTGAGAAAATGATCTATGATTTCCATTTGAACACGAGAGGAGGAGATGTTGAGCGCAGTCATGTACATGTTAGTCATTTAACGCGCCGCTATGGAATAGGGACCATGAAATCTGAAAAAAAGCAATCGATCCATTCACAATACAATGGACGATGTTGAATACGCGGCGCGTTCTGGAGCAACTGCTGAGACCCATCTCTCTGAAGAACGATCATGATGCATAAGCGGGATTATATGCGCACCACATTCAAACAATTTTTTCTCGAGCCAAAGCTCGAGTGCATGGCGCAATCTGAAGTAGGGAAAAGTTTAAAAGCATATTCTTATAGAACTCGACGAGCTGAGTTCAATGCTTTTTTCAGATTTCGAAAATCTTAATTCTGAAGCGAGTTATAACGAAAAAACGAAAAAAAAAAAACGCGAAATTCGCGTTTTTCGCGTGTTTTTGACGTTTTTTTACGGCGAGTACCGTAGTAGCATTCTGCCTCCTCAACGATAGCCGATTTTCCGCGCACAGCAGACGAGCGAGGCCTCAGTCACTCCGCTGCCCAGACCGTCTGGAGGAGGATGGCCTCTCGGGTACTTGACGAAACTTTACCTTGGCCTTTATGTCGAGAACGCACGCTTCTAGATAATGCATCGGTCCGAATGGTCCAGTCTGAGCCTGCCTGTCAAGATAGATTTGAGGAGTGAGCTATAAAGTCCTATAGGGTGTGCTTATGTGAAAGGGTTTGCGAAGAAACGAAATAAGTGTCCCTGTTGTGTAATGCATGAGAAAAAAAAATTATAAATGAACTTGTTCAGAAGCTTAGCAATAACAGGAAACTAACGGTAGATAGAAAAAGAGAAAGACCTCTGTAGGTTGCAAAAATAATTAGTGACCATGCCATGATCACTCTACCAAAAACCTCTACAGCCTCTGGGCTGAGGCAAACCGTCCCCCGCTCCGCCATGCGCTCAATGTTCACATACTTCACCTGTGCAGTTGTTTCGCTGCACAATGTAAGTAGCACGTGATAGTTTTCCGGTCTCATTACTGTGCGCAGAGTGAAGTGAAGAGGCAGGGTCCTGTCTGAAAAGGACAAGGGATTCTGTACGATTGTTCACCACTATTATCCGATGCTGCAATAATAATGCGCTAATAAAGTGACTTTAGGGACACTGTTCAAACACCACCGCCTCCTCAGCCATACTGGAATTGGGCTCCTCCAACCGTTAATCCAGTAGTGCCAAGCCCAGTCACTCCACCACCAGTGGATATTACACGCGCTAGTCCACAGTTGTTGGCGCACAACACGGCAAGGGTAAGAATATTCGACATTTCGCCTCTGAGCATCTGCGAGAGCTTCTTTGCTTTTTCACACATTCGTATTCGTTATATCAGATATACAGCTAGCAGACTATGCGTTGAGACGCCGCAAACATCTTACCTTTGAAAGCCAGAGTTGCTCTCCCAAACAACAACTGAGAAGTCATCGAATACTTCTCAGCTGTTGTTTGGGAGAGCCATGTCAAATGAGCCATGGTGTAGGCAAAATAGATGTCAATTGATCGTTGATTGTATGATACTCACCCGATCCTATTAAGGGCTGTTTGGGAGGAAGAATGTGTTAGCTTTCCAACTCCTGGAAATCCCGTTGAGAGGACGACATTGCCCTGCAGCATTAGTTCAAGTGCTTTGTGGAAATATGCGCTTCGAGAAAAGCAAACTGGTGTGCAGAACTGTTGTTGTTACAAAAACGCATTGATCTGCTTATGAGCAGGGCCAACGTCCGCTCGCGAAGTTATAAGGTAACCGACAGGCCGTTTTTAAAGGCAAGATTCGGGATAAAATAGGTGTGGAAAAGCGTTCAGTTATGAAGCTATAGGTGGGAGGTGGTCTGTAAAAGAGAAGGAAAGCAAACGAAACCACCGATTACGCCCCGTACAGAGACCTCCCCTATTTCAGCCACATTCCACCTTGGGATAGAGAAGAGGCGAATTGGACGAGTTTCACGAACCTAACTCTACTTGCTCCAGTGTCAATAACATTGGATCGCGCTGGGACCACTGCCTCAAATGCGCCCGCGCTTTTCAAGCAGCGCCACGTGGCAACCGACAGCGAAGGGTGGGGCTTGCGGACGAAGGTGTGAGTTGCGGGTTGGACGAGCTCCTTGCGCCTTTGTCGCGTACTTTCAAGCCGCAAAAGGGGCCCGACATCAACACTTGTCCACCTGCCTACTACCCCCTGGATGGAACAGGCGAGCCCGCCTGAATCGCGGAGCGTGCCTTTTTAAAGAAGGGGAGGGGTAGCATTTGGAGTTGAGAAAGGTTATTAATAGTGAGAACGGAGGTTGATGAATGTTGTTGGAGGGGGTTGCGTTTTGACGGTTTTTTGACTTTCGCGATATCAGTAACAGAATTGGTGCATAGCAAAAAGTGGGCTGGGCTGTGTCGGCTAGCCTCGAAATCAAATACTATACCAACAGCCAGATGGTGAGGGTAGTGGTCGGCGGGAACAGGGTCGTATTGGGGAAACCTTCTACGACTGATGGTGGTGATGGGAGGTTGCACGAGACCCCCGTGAAGTGGGGGGCTACAAAAATTTTGAAAAAGCGCGAACGTGACGATTGACTTTGCTTATGAGTAAAGTAGAAAAGTATGTAGTATCAAATATTGTATTTCCCAACCGCTTGCTTGGTGGATCACTTGGTGGGCCAGCACGTCACTTCCAAATCAGTGGATGTTACAGAGAGAATTAAGAAGTGAGGGACCACTGAACAGGCACTCATGCACTACCGTTGCGTCCTGATTCAAACTCAAATTTTTTCTTTAAGTCAATTTAAGTTTCTCCTTGTGAAAACGATTAAAAACTCCCAGATTAAGTTATTTGATCAATAGCAAAGCCACTTCACAGTAGCACTCCAGTAGCCCTCCCTGAGACACACGTAGCTGATTTTGTGTTATGAGGCGTGTTCCCTTCTGGTTATTCCATTACGAATTCAATTTGTCAGCCTTACCCGAGGCCATTTTTACATCCCTTAAATAAATATCACCATGAGAGGCAGGAATCATCAACATCCGTGGCGATTTTTTAAGGGCTCAAGTTGTGTTCCATCCTTACAAAAACTCGGGTAACAGTGCCATGCCGTTCAATTCTACAATTTCAATAAAAACCCTCGATTTCAAGTTTATTGAAAAGTCTCACAGAGAGGTTCAGAAGCGTTTCACAGATTTAAACCCTGTAATTAGCCTTATACAGATGATTCGTGAGATCGCAACGTTTTCCGACGTTCACCACGGCGCTAATGACGACTACGGTGCTGTACAAACGATAATGGAAGCGTTTTTCCAGTCACTTGCCGATCCGCAACCGGCGGCGGCAGCGCAGGTACACAAATCACGCCCCTATGTGTTCTATTTTTTCTTTGCATCTATTTTAGGAATATTTTCATAGCTAGGTGCTACTGTAACAGCATTCGAAACAGAGTAGTTTTTTCTCTTGGTTGGACGTTTCTTGTAATTCTTCCTAGAAGAGGTACATTCTTCAACCGGAAATGCAGAGCAAGAAACTCGACTGTTCTCCATTTGAGAACATTGTCTTTGGAGGATGATCTAAGTTTTGGTGGCAAGGTTGTGATACGCTGGTTGAGCGTTACGTATTCTTTCTTTGTTTCTTGGTTTAGAAGAAGCAGGAATGATCTAAGGATTCCGCCAAAAAAACGTGTCCCTTTTCGTTAGCACTAGCTAGGAAAAGGCGATCTAGCGATTTTAGGAACAACATTTGAACTAGCACGCTCTTTTATTTGTCCATGTGTTTGATGAGGGATGATGCCATTCACGGATTCTCTGAATTCGACAAGCTCAGTCGTGCACAGTTTTTTTGATAGAGAACCCCGGCGGACAGGAGAGCTGCGCTACAGGCCGCTAATTTTGCAGATCTTTCCATTACATCATAGCAAATAAACAGCACCAAAATCCCTTTAATATGAGTACCTCTGCCACAAAATACTCAAGGGCAATACTCAATACTTCAAGGGCGAAACTCAACACGAAACATTCTTCACGGACGACAAATTGATCATTATTCAACGTTGAAGAGAAGTTAGCCGTTCAGTGCATCCATAGGTTTTTCTTTGGAACTCATGATGATGATGCTGAGGTCCAAACCGCGTGCATTTCTTCTTTTCGTTGGAATGTGAGTGACTGTTGGGATCAGTTGGGAGGCTTACATCAGGAATACTCCACAGAAGAGCTACTATGAGCAGATGATCTTGCCAAGGGTACTATTTGAACCACTAAACATTTGCAAAAACAAAGAAATTCACGTATATGTATGTCT